TGTATAAGTTATATATGGAAAGAATTATCATTTTTTTTTGAAAATAGGGTAAAATCAACTCCTCACCCCTTTCAACATAGTGCTGGATAGCTATCCCCGCGTAAAAAGCCCAAAAAAACATGCAATGGGCCTTAGAAAAAAGCATAAAAGCGGCTGAAGAGTTGGGGCTGGACGTGAGAGCAGTCGTGTGTGACCTATACAGTAGCTCCAAGAGAAACTCGTACAGCTAAAGCAATTTATTAATCTTTCTTATTAAGACTTTCTAAAAAGGGTTTAAAACAGAGTTATTATAAATTTTATTAATTATATATCTACATATATATATATATATATTATATATTAAAATATAATTTTTTTTTAAATATTGATACGTGGTACGCATCTTTTATATATTGTTTGTATATAGATTATTATTGAAATATAATTCTTCTAATCTATTTGGCATACTTTGTACAAGTTTTCTGCAAGCAGTTGATTCATTTTGTTGCCGTTCGTCCTGAAGAGTTTCTTCAAACCGTTCTTGGAAATTGTGATGTGCCACGGAGTTTTCCTATGAAGATAATTCCACAAATTTTTGACAGTGTCTGTATTTGGACTCTGGGCTGGTATATCCATGACATAAAATAAAAAAAAACAAATTTATTTAATCTCCTTATAATCTTGGGTATCACATTAAATATCATAAACATATTTCAAAAATTACCTTTGATTATTAAAATAAAGGTAAATATTCTAAAAAGAATAATAAAAAAACAAAATTTGATGACAAAGAGGATAAACCTGTGTTGAAATTAGAAAATTAATAATTCAACATCATAAAAATAAAAAATGTATTCGAGGGATATCCGCTTAACAACCCAAAAAATGGCTTGAAAATAAATCAATGGTACCTACGAATTAAATTTTCTCGGTGGGTAGTGAGCTATATACTCTACGCTAAGCCAAAAACAATACATTAGTGTGTACATTGAAACTTGCAGAAATTGCCGAAAGGGATTTAGGAACAAAATATTGTCCAAATACAATAAGAAATATATTACCAGACTGATTTCAACGGCAGAAGAGCAAGGCGTAAATCACTTATCAACAAAAGGAAAACCAGTAAAAAGATTTGCCATTTTGTAAGAACGCGCTAATCACTGACAACCTTTTTGTATGAGATGCCAGCCCTCATGTACGGAGGAGGGCTAATGAGGTAGCGGTAATGGTGCAAGATCATTTTCTGCATCTTGGTCGGCGTATTGCGCTTTGTTAAGGGCGATGTAGTATGTATGCCTTAATATTTTGAGAGGAAAGGAAGTTTGTCCCTTTGCAGGGAAAGACTTGGTCTTGGTGAAGATTTTTTTTTTTACCGAGACAATAACCCCATATCAACTTATGTTTTTTCCTGTTTGTAGCGAAACCCCCTGTAAAAACCTAGATTCTGCCCATGAAAATAGACCCATATACCATTGCTTGACATTGTTACGTCGTTTAAATGGAATCACTTCTTGAAAAATTCAAATAGAAAGTTGAAAGACAAGCTACTATTTTTTGTTTTCTTCGAATATTTTTGTTAAGAAAACTCTCCTCCTAGATTTCCTTATTTGAGACGTTCACTGAGTAAAGGTAACTCGTGAATTATCCATAAAAAAGCAATAACTATCATAAATAAAAGAAGCAGTACAAATTTGGTATGAAAATACGTTCAGATCACGTTTTTAAAATTTAGAAAAATATCGCCTCTCGATGACTTTCTAATAAAACGTTTGTTGCACTTTGTTGCATAGTAAGTAAGTTTCTAAAATACTTCTCGAAAATAATTTATTAAATTTATTTACGGTCTTTAACGCCTGCACTGCTGTTAACGTAAAATTTCTGTTAAAAGTAGGACCAAATCAGTATGGCAACATCACTTATGTCTGCGTATAACTTTTCTTGCATATGGCAATAAATTGCGGAACATGATGACATAGAAAAAAATTTGTTGCGTAGACAAGATGAACGTTTGTATAAATAAAAAATCATTTTTAGAAATTAAAATTTAACAAGCTAGTTCGTTGCACTTTTAGGAAGCGGACATTCCAATTGACATTCATACACTCAAGCTACAAGATTGGCTGGTTAGTAGACGTATAGTGCCTAAAAATATTCAACCAGCGCTTAAGGATATTCGAATTAAAATAAGCGATGCTTTACAGGATATGCCATCGCACGATCAACTTATACTACTATTAAAAGGAGCCAGTAAGTAGCTATAAGACATATATATAAAAGAATTGCTCTTTAATTGCGATTTTCTTTAGACATTAATTATTTCCACTGTAAGCAGATTGTAGAAATTCTAAAGCAGACCGAGAAAGATAGCAAAAGCATTTTTGGACGTTATGGAAGTAAGAGAATGAAAGACTGGCTAGAGATTTTGCGTCTGTATGAAAAGGATAATATTTATTTGGCTGAAGCTGCTCAGATTTATGTACGCAATGTGAATTATGAAGTTCCGAGTATACGGAGACAAATGAGCAAATGGGAGCAACAACATGAAGAATGCTTGAAGCGAAGTCAAGATCTCAACAAACCGGAGTCTGCTTTCCTGGCAGAACATACAACTTTACTGCAACACCTTGGCGTTAAAGGTGAAAATCTAAAGGAAGAATTCATAGAAGCGTTAAAAACTTTGCCGACATTATACGCCGAATCTATTAAAAATATCAAAACCTTAGAAGAAGCATTGAATTTATATGCTCAAACGACTGGACAAACGAAACAACAATGTTTACCAATATTAGGCCATTTAATGGAATTCGGGAATACTACTGTGTATCAATATTGTCATAAAGAACCGCCTTTGTCGGTGGAAGAGCCACCTTTGAAATTAAATCTAAGTGAAACACAGTCTGGCAGATCACCAGCAGATAATGAGGTCGACTATGGTGACGACAACGGTGGTACATCATCGACCATTTCCGCTGAAATAATTGACTTTGGTGAACTCAATCTGGAAACTGAGACAGAACTTGTAAATGAAGCGGTTGATATCGATTGGGGAGGCAGTGAAAGTACAGCCGCAAATGCTGTAGAAATTAATTTCGATATACCTATCGAAGAGTATGGAATTGTTGTTGAAGGTGCAGGAATGGATGGTGGTATTGCTAAAGGTGATCAAGCATATACTTTGCTGGATTCACCTACCTATAGTGAACGTTTTACTGACGAACTATGCGAACTAGAATCTTTCCTAAAAATGCGTCTATATGAATTGCGTCATTTAGACACTTCCTCGAACATAATGTTTTCTCTATTGGATAATATTTCAACGCATGATGAAGCATCTATATGCAAAATGCTAACTAATGTTGAAGACATTCTCACAGCTATCAGCTGTCAACAGACACGGCATCTTTTTCAATTAAAGCATTCAACAAAATATGGCGATTTATTGGCATCTAAACTGAAACAAATGCTTAAGGCTGTGGAAAAAATACGCCATACAAGGGAAACGCTAAAGCAACGCGCGCAAGAATTAAAACAAGAGCGTGCAGCTCTTAATCCCATACTAGATGAGTTTCTGAATCAAACCAAACAACTCCAGCAATGTATTGAAGAAGACATATCAAAACGTTACAAATGTCGTACTGTTAATCTGCTCGGTGGACTCAATTGATTAATATTTTTATTTGTTGTTGTAATAAATTAATTATATTAGGTGGGCTTTAATTAATCTCTTGCTTTTCATTTCATTTCTAGTTGCTTCACATTCACAACGATTTCATATTATAGTAGTAAGCTTCTGCTCAACTCGTCCCTATTATTCAGTAATCTTTTGAAATTTGGTAAAATCCTCTATGTAATTATTTTAATGACTTGTAAGTTAAGTAGAATGACGAACTCACCACATTCAAATTACTACATATAATTCGCGTGATTACATATAGGAAAACCGAAAAGATTTCAAAAGAAGCTTTGAAAGTAAATAACAAGTTACAGGAAGTTGAAGGAAAACTCATGCCAACTTTTGAAAATAGTAAACGAAGTTTAGGGATAAATTGGTGGCAAAAATGAAGATATCGGCTTTAAATTCTATAGAAACATTAGAAATCTTTGTGGCATGTTGTTATTGAAAACAGGGCAAAGTGGTCAGACCACAAGCCCGCAGTGAAAGCCAAACTGAACGCAAGTCCGTTCTTCTAAAGAAAAATTTTTGGTTTTCTGCCCTTTGCTCTAATTATAAAAGATAAGACGCTAAAATTTTCCATATATACTCTGCTATTTATGTACAAAAATCGAAAAATCGGTCCTGCCCACACGAATTTATATATAAGTAAGTTAAATTTACTCTTTGTTTTCGCTTTTTAAAGTTTTATGTGAGTAAAAATTGTAAAAACATTTTTTTTGATTTTTTAAGTGATTTTAGGAAAATTAAAACGTTTGAACTTGTGACTCGCAGATATTTATGTAATATAATACAAGTTTTCAAAATTCATAAATTTTACAGAAGCAAAATGGCTCAAGCAATGGCTTAATCTTCCGGAGCAAGTAGACAACAAAGAAGTTAAAGACATTTTGGAAACTAGTACTGATTTGCGGCAGTATTCACGTCAAATTGAAAAGGAATTTAAGGAATTGGAAAACCAATCAATCCAAGATAACATTAAGCAATCATATGGAGAATACGCTGAGATTTCAAAACGTTTTAAGTAAGGTAGGGAAATAACGCACTTAGAAAAAAAACCAGTATCGATTATTGTACAGTTAACGTCAATCGTTAAAGATTTTAAATATATATATATAAATGCGTTAATTCTAAAATAGGTACGGTGGACACCACGACCTGGTGGATTAATTTGTTCATAATAATGCCATCGATATGAATATCAGATCAACGGGATTGGAGAGTAGAATGCGATAACCTGCGTACATTAATTCTCAATTGATTGAGTTGAACGTCGCGACGTGGTAGATTAATTTTTCTTAACTAATCTAAACTAAAAGATGGATCATACATTCGAACCCATTGACTTTTTTATGGTAATAAATAAAAACGGGAAGCGATAAAGATTTTAGTGGTACTGGGTACGCGAGATTCAGTCCAACCGAATATAACTTTCTTACATGTTTTATTATTGTTTTCAGATTAGTAATGAAGTTATGTTAGTTTTGGATGCAAAAGATTTAATCTCAAGTGCTTTCTGGTCTCCGCACACACTTAATATACTCTCGCAGTGCAGATAGTATAGAATCCAATAGAAAATACTTTAAATAAATCATTTTTTTTCGCTTTCGTTTTTTACTTTACGCAAATATCTACCTGCAAATAGTTGAGCACAAGAATATAAAATGGGCAGAGGAACAGACAAGCGTAGGTCGATTCAGAAAGTGAAAGGCGGATCCGTTTCAAGTTCTTCTGGGTGGTGCACACGTCCGGGCAAACGTAATATACCCTTGTAAACCCTTAAATTAATTCAAATACTCAATAAGTTGTAAATTTAAAATTATTCTGAATTTATTTCACTATATGTATAATTTTTATCTTATTTTAAATGTACAAACTTGTCCTTTATTGTGTAGTTTTTTCTTTTTTTTTTTTTCTTTTATTATAATTACAATTTTCTTTTGTAATACGATACAAACATGGTTTTTTTTTATAAATATATATATATATATATATATTCTTCCTTCTTTCTTTTTACTAAATATATTTATCTTTTTTTCTTTATTTTTTTTTTGCTTTTTGTTCATTAAAATGACTGAACTATTTATTGCGCCTGTGCAGCATACGCACTTGTTTTAACTTAGAATTTAAAGTGGTTTTCAATCAATTTTTTTAAAAGGGTTATCTGTACTTAAACTCTAAGTATATATATATATATATATATATATATATGTATACTATATATATATTACATATATATATATATATATGTATGTATATTATACATTTGTATACGAGAAAAATATGTAAAATTCTTATAAATTATAGAAACAATTATAAATATGCGAAAAAAATATTCATAATAATAATTTTCGAAACAAGTTATGAGTATACATGATAAGCAGACATTTAAGTGTTTGAAGTGTTTGATAGGAAGGAAGAAATATTGAGTTATAAAAAAAAAAGATATTGGAAAGAGGTGGGTACGGCGTTTGGTTGGTAATGATAATAATAAAAAATAATTAAAAAGTTTAGGTATTCTCTACTTATTGTAAAAAGGATTGTACTTTCGAAAATAAAATAAAATCACGAAAACTTAGACAATTTGTTCTTTCAATCTTTTGAATATCATTTGTTGGGTACTTAAAGGGATTTGTGGGGCTGGTGGGGGGAAGTGAGGATATGCAATAATAGGGTACAATTGAATTATTATAAAACAAAACAACTTTTTAAAACTTTCTATACATTATATGTGGATATGTACATATACATCCTAATAAATATTGCTTAGTCAAGTGTAATCAATTTTCTTTAAGAATATAGAGTTCCTTATATGCCTCCTTTTGTGATGAACTCAATGTTTTACTCAATGAATTTATGATGAATCAAGTTATATTTTGAAGTTATTACGTGCTGGGTTTGTGTACAAAATTTCATCGAGAGATGGATTTTATATTTTTATGTGAGGGATTTACGCGTGCAAATCTGAAATTCTACATATTAACATATTCTTTGAACATGATATTATGACGGCGAAATTAAACATGTATATGTAGTAGGTAGGTAGGTGAGAAAACATGAATAAGTATGTATGCATTTCTTTTATCTCTAGAGTAATTATATGCTATGCAAAAGAATGGGAAATTTTTTAAATCCCCATCTTGCATGGCATTCCTAATAATTAATTATTATGTATTTGTGTATGTGTGTATGCAAGTATGTATTTGTGTATGTATGCATATATGTATGTGTGCGTGTGTGTGTGTGTGGCCAAACATTGCAATTTTCAGTTCTGCTAATTGTTTAAGTTATTATTGTTCCTCTTCTTCTTCCTTTGATTACAATCCTAAACACAAGCCACCTCGTCCATACTTGTACGTGTTTTTTACGGGCTGTAATGTGTGCTAGTCAATGTCAATAGTTATTCACTACATTACATATGCATTGTTATGTTTACTTATCTAAATATATATACATATATATATATATATATATATATATTCTTATTTTCTTATTTATTTTTATACACCAAGTATGTATGCGTATGTATTCTTAGTTTACTCATAAGGAGCGATTATTGTGATTTATTTATATATTTATATGCAAGTGTGAGCGTTACGAATAATATTCATAACAAATTTTTACAACAATTTTCAATTTCTTATTTCTAATTTTTTCTATTCATTTTTTTCACTTTATTGCCAGCATTTTTTTTTTTTTGTTTGTTTATTTAGTTCCTTGCTGGCAGACATACGCCTCAAGCGCTTCGATTATATGTCTTTTTAAAAGTTAATGCTAGAGACCCCTTCACTCATTGTATTCGGTAAATTAAATTCGTTTTTCCAAACTGTTAAAAAGCTATATTTGAATGCGCAGGGACGCTATTTCGCTTTAAAATGAATAAATCAAAAGAAGCTTACAATAAGAAAAAAATAGGGACCTGTTAAGGTTGGCTCTCAAATCTAGCCTAAGCGGATAGTTGAATACAATGAAGATCGATAAAATTTGGAAATATTCGTTCGTCTGTTAAAATATCGACAGCAACCTCATAAAGTTGCTTAGAAGAACAAAATTCTGCGTGGAATAAAGAGATGAAGGCAAATTTCTTATGTAACGAATGTAATGAATTCTTCCACTATCAGCTGGTAGGAGTGTACTTAGTAACTTCTTCTAAACTTCTGTTCATATTAATCAATGTTTTGAGTACATTTTGTATTTTACAGGGCGCAGATTGACAGAAGAAACAGCTCAGATTTCGTGTTTCAAAAGCAAAGAAAATTTCCTGTGTGTTTCGAATCGCTGTGAAAAGGGGACAAAAATCCTTCCGTGGATCGTGTACATCACTCACTTCTGAAGCTGATTTCCTCAACGGTTTTAAACGCAAAGAAACAAAAATCGTCAAAAGCAAGAAAGGGTGGGTGCAGAACACTGAACTGACTAAGGTGATCTAGAAAGTCAAGTTCGCTCGCACGTTGCAAAAGCACAATTTTTTCAAGTTTTTTAATTTTTCGTCCCATCTATCGTGTTTCCGTTGAAGTTGAAATTACGAAAGATGTAAAAAGGAAAATTCACCAATAATACTCTGGAATCCGTCGACAAAAAAATGTATTTAGTATTTGGCCAAACAATTGCTTAGCTCGCGCTTAAAAGGGGGAGAGACAACTTTGGTGAAAAATTAATTTTTTTTAAAACAATTTTCGTGCAAAACGATTGACTGTAAATAACTTAATCGTTTATACGACGATGTAATATAAATTGTTGAAGATTTGCTTCATTTCAGCACAAATTGGCGATGGGTATTAAAAGAATACAATCTCTTTCTTATGTTAATATTTATTAGAAGAAAAGCAAATGTTAGGCATATTATATCTAAATTTTGATCACTTGAAAAAGCTTATGAATTTATTTAACGAGAAGAAGAATAAAAGTCTCCGCTACGAGAGAAAAGAGAAAAAACGAGAAGAATGGTAAAACTCTATGCTAAATATTAGTTCTTTCGAAGTTTCAAAACGATCTGTGAAAACATTCGCACAGAAGCAATTATCCGTATAAGTAGCCGAGCAGGCAACAATCGCGACTACAAAGTTTATGTTCGCGGGCTCAAATCTCAGTGCGGTAGAGTTTCAAATTTAGAAAAAACGTACTTCTCTCTTCTGGCCAAAAAAAAAGAAGAAAACAAGTTTAATTGCTCATGCCATCAATTAAAAAAAAGAACAGGTGAGGAAAAGCGGAAAATGTCTTCGGTTTTAAACGTGATGGTGTGACTTCTTGAAATGACCATTATTTAAAATCGCTCAGGAATTTAGTTTTTTTTAAATAGACTTTATCAAGTGGAAATTTATAATGGAATGGTGAATAACTGAACATAATGTCCTTTTGCTTAATAATTGGACAATGCAAGAGACAGACATCTTAGTTAGCTCGCTTATCTCGTCGAAACAACGCATTTTCTAAATTTTGTTCGAAAACTACTTATTAATAACATCGCATATTTCCTACCTTAGATATGATAGATAATCCCCAAAAGGTATATTGTATTCTGTAATTACACTGGAATCGAAATTGGTAAACGGAGTAATGCTATAAATCCCACAAAAAAAACTGTAAATACTATCTTCAACCAACGATGTGCGACTGCAAGGATTGCAGAAATATCAGTACACCTACGTCAGTGGTTATCCGCATAGTTATAGTCAAACATTCAAATTTCAAAGATTTACGCTTCATATGGGACTCCATATCGATCGAATCGCTAAAAGAAAAGCGACACCGATGAACTTCATCCTACTGCCTTAGAGGCAACCAGCGTTTGAAACCGTTATATGGTCATTATATTATAAACAAGTTCGGTGCACAATTCTTAATACGATGGCGAGCATCATTCATAGGTACAACGTTATTCCATTTCTTATTAACCTGATCAGAGAGTTTTACGGTTTTTACACTATCGCCGATAATCACGCATGTTACCTGCAATCACTCATATTACAGGCAATGTATATTAGCGATAATAGTTTGAGAACCGCAGAACATTACGATCCTGTTAATAAGCAATGGAATTACATTGCACCCATGAAGAATGCTCATCATCATTTCGGAATATATACTTGCGATATGTTGTCGGTCGTTAAATGGTTTTTGTGTTTCGAAAATTCGAAAGCTGTTTGCAATCGCACAGCTCTGCTCGAAAATAGCATTTACAGTTTGGTTCGCGGCAATGACCATTACTTCGGCATTCGCCCATTACACTGGCATTCCTTCGTGTACCCATTTTGATTTCCGAGAAGGACATTGGTATAAATAACAAAAAAAAAAAAAACAAAAATCAAAAATGGAATAGGGATTTGATTCAAAAAAAAAAAAAAAGAAGAACATCCTTAGAAATAATTACGGATTTAGCATAAAGTGAAAGGTTGATGCAAAAGTAATCAGATTCAACGTATATGACAACACTATTGGCCGGGTTAGCTTTCCCACGACATGTTGTATAACACTCTTTCAAAAGCACAAAAAAAAAAGCACAAAATAGGTTAGTATGATACTCAACTGTAGCATTTGAATTGAAAGGATTGACTGAGTTGATTGCAGACGAAAATACACCCATAGTCATTACATTTCGCTCAAACTTTCAAAAGAACAACCGGAAACTATATTAATAAAATTGTTTATATCAATCAAGTGCGAAGACTGGTGCTATCATGATGTACTCAGAGAAGAAATGTCTGGATGCCTATCAGCCAGGCAATTGGTAAGCGTTTGGGAGACTTAAAGGAAGTCTCCTCGAAGGTATCATGATTGAATGGGGAAAACATTGTAATATACAGAGCGTTTTTAACGCTCCCCTAAATTCTCCTTTCTACGAACTTTTGGCTTAGTTTCATAAATCATCTTAAGCGATAGTAATTACCACTAATTGGCGGAACGATATAACTACACCGCTACTTTTTTTTATAACCCAAAACATTCATCCTGCGAATTTCGGATTGGTTGCAAGCGTGATGGCATCAAGGACAACTCAGTTGTAACGAACGCAAAATATGTCAAAGTGTGACTAACATTAACTCTCCGACTCTACAATCACTGTGATGACAAGTGTCAACATATATACCATGGTTAAAAAGAAAATGAACTTTGAAACTTATAACTACTTACAGACGTATGTATGTGTGAAACGAAATTTACAGAAAAAAGAATACAATCTCAGTTTTAATAGTGTGTGTTTGTCGAGGCTGCTGGAGCCGGTGCTGAACTAGCTGATGTTGTAGAGGTGGGTGGTGGCCACCAATGCAACAGTTCAGATTGTGAATGCGGATGGTGGTGGTGATGCGAATGTGAATGTGGGTGTGATAATGCAGATTTACCCTGCGAAGCGTATTGTTGATGGCCATATGGGTAAGGAAATTGTGGATGATATGAGGGATGTGTAGGGGGAGGTGGTGGAGGATGATGACTGGCATGAAATTGCCTTACAGTATCCGGACAACCTCCACCGCCTAACGCCGCGGCCTACTTTGAATGTCAGTCGTTCTTTACTGGATAATAAAGCAAGTCTGGCTGCTGTACATGTTGCTGCTGTTGCATGTGATGCATGTAATCGGTAATGGGAGGTAACACGGTCTTTGGTTCTTCAGCGCCTAATACCGAATAGCCTCCGCGGTCGTAGACGTGATGGCCAGCATGTGGTAACAAATGAGATGCTGCTGTTAATGGATGGTGGGCTGTTGGGGCGAGGGGATGCGCTCCCAGTGCGTGCGGTTGCAACGCTGCATGAGGATGATATGGTTGGAAGCTATTCTTCTGCTGCTCACTCATATCAGTCAAACCAGCTGTGTGATGGGCCGGATGATGTACCTCGTAAAGAGCACTGGTCGCACCGTAAACCCCAGCTGAATGACGTATCAAACCCGCCGCGCTAGCACTAGCCTGGAGACCGTAAGCAGCAGGATGATGTTGTTGTTGTTGCTGCTGCTGGGGATTGTGTAGAGCAGGTGGCGGTTGCTGTGGTGTTTGGGACACAGCAGCTGATGGTGTTCCGGTCGCTGAAGTTATCCCTGCAGCAGTAACGCCAGTGCCTTGTTGCATCATTTCAAAGTTATATTCCATTGGATTCGGATTGTTATCGATGAGATTTGTTAATATACTGCCAATGTTGTTGTAACTGTGAGGATCAGTGGTGCTGGCTGCAGTTGCAGCTGCCGCTTGATTACTCGAACCTGGTTGTTGAGGGTGTTGCTGCGAATTTGACGGTGGTGGTGGTTGTTGTTGTTGCTGTTGCGGCTGGGCGGCGCTCCCAAAAGCCAATTGATTTGCTGCGCTTGGCTGCGGCCACATATTCTAAATAAAAATAAGCAATGTTAAAACATTAGGAAGTTCGACAGCCTGATTAGCTTAATATTCTAGGCTTGAAACTATTACTTTACCTGAAAGCCCATTAAATCACCCCCAAGTGGTTGATCTTGCTGCTGCTGCGGTTGCTGCTGCTGTTGTTGCGTCGCCTTATTCGCACCCACCATAGCTTGCGGTTGTGCCGGCTGTTGCGGCTGTTGCGTATTACTCACTTGCCCAGCAGAAGCACCTGCCGCTGAATTAGCACTTGTGACATTCATCGGAAGACCCAGAAATTCGGCAGAATCCACTATATAAAACTTATTAGGATTGTCTTTGACATCGGGAGTTGCGCTGTTGCTGGCACTGCCATGTTGTGGCTGTGTCTGTTGTTGCTGTTGATGCGCTCCTGGATTAGTGTTAGGGTGTGAGACAAAGTTCATATTGCCCCAGGCATCTGGAACGCATTGCTGCTGTTGTTGATATTGTTGTTGTTGTGGTTGATGATGATGATTCACCCCTGGATTTTGCTGCTGCGGCGTCTGAATCTGGTGTGCTGAAGATGGTCGAGGCGTGTGTGGCGTGTGAGGTTGTGGCTGAGGGGATTGCAGTCGCGCATGCTGTGGCGAGTGTGAAGGCTGCTGATGCTGTTGCTGCAGCTGTTGGGCTTGTGTTTGGTGGTGATGTGGCGATCGCTGCTGATTGTGACGTTGATGTTGCTGCTGCTGCTGTTGTTGTTGTTGTTGTTGTTGCTGCTGCAACTGGTGCTGCTGGAGCAGTTGTTGATGATGATTTATCTGCTGTTGATGCTGGGCTGCTTGCAAATGCTGATGGGGTGATGTGAAGTGTTGAGGCTGCATTTGCGTTGGTTGATGCAATGGACTTTGCGGCGTATGACTTCGAAGCTGTTGCTGTTGTTGTGCTGCGTGCAACTGCTGTTGCTGCTGCTGATGGTGATGCTGCTGCTGCTGTTGTTGGTATTGATTTAGAATCTGGTGCTGTTGATAGGCAGCTGGATTTGTCATTACTGAAGGAGAGCTGCCCACCGTGTTTTGATCAAAGTGAAACTGCGCTTCCGGTTGAGCGGTTAAACCGCCGGCAAAATTGTTCATTCGAGGCATTATATTATCAGGTGTATGACTACTGTTAGGCGTGTGACGATGGTGCTGCTGCTGTTGATGATGTGTTGGAGGCGGTGTGGGCCTTTGCTGCTGCTGTTGTTGTTGTTGTTGTTGTTGCGATTGCGATTGCAAATGTTGTGCACTATGTGATGTATGAACGGATTGCTGTTGTTGCTGTCCTAACAACTTTTCTGTGCTAAAGTTCTGACTATACATGGAACCGGGCTGAGGTTCATTTGCAGACAATGAATGTTGCGATGTAGACGCCGTCGACGATTGTGAACTATTATTACTGATAATTGCTGCGTTAAATTGCTCTTGTTGGGAAGAAGACGATGTTCCCGGTGTTGTTGACAACGGCGGCGGTGTGGATATGGAGCCTATCTGCTGCTGCTGTTGCTGATTCGGTTGTTGCTTTGGTTTACTGACATTTGACTTTTTAGCAACCTTAGCCGGTGGCGGACCTGGCACATCCGCCATTGATACCAGTTCTGCCAAGAAGGAAAAATATCAAATAGTTCATAATTAAGTTCATTTCGAGTATCTCCCTTACCATCGCCCTCTTTCGTAAATCGCTTAACCTTTTTCGGTGACGGTTGGTTTCCATGAACAGTTTGCTTGTGACGTACCAAATGCGTCTTCCATTTAAAAGTCTAGAAATATAACAGGCAAATTAAAAACTTATTAACAATACTGCATTACGCGGTTTAGTTGACAATAGCAATTAAAGTACCTGATCGCAATAGCAACAGCAATGAGGCCTTTCTTCTGAATGCGATGGCAAATGACGCTGTAGCGATTTCACCGAACCAAAGCGTTTGCCACATAACGTACACTTGCACTCGGAAGCATCAGTGTGTGCGTTACTGTAGTGATCTTTTAATGCTGGATATGTAAAATACGATGATCCACAAATATCACAAACGTAAGTGCGTTTGATTTCCGTGTGTAGCTGAACATGGCGTTCGAGATTTGCTTTAAGTGTGAAACGATTCTGGCATATGTGGCATTCAAAGAAATTGTCCTTTTTGTGGACCCGTATTATATGCTGATAGAGTGCATTTTTGGAAGGAAATTCCTCGCCGCACACTTCGCAAATCGCGCCATCGGCCTTGTGACCGGTATCATCCAGATGTTGTTGGTGCATCTTTTTGTGAGTAAACTTTTGCCCACACTCATGGCAGGAGTAGGCTGCAAAATAAAAAAGCACAATTAAAAATCTATACACGTCTCTCTTCAGCTAAAATGATGTCAGATAATAAAGAAAAGCAAAATCGAAACGAAGAACCAAAAACGGTTAATAACGGATAATGGCAAGGAAAGTTAGTTTGCGGTGAAATTTACACTTGACTTCTTGTTAAACATCGTAAACGATTTTGGTCTCAAACACAAACTCACTTTTGATATCTTTTTTGTTGTGAGATTCGACATGTGCATGAAACTGTTGACGACGCGAATATGATTCTCCACATGTCTCACAAACAAATGGATATTCCTTGGCATGCATCGTACGATTGTGATGTATGATTTCCTGCAAAGATGAAAATTAATGTTTTCATTTTTTAAACTTAAACAATTGTTCTAAAATGTAGATTATTACTTCGAGCGAAGTACCGTTCGGCTTGCCACAATCGTGACAATAACCTGGATGAATTTTATAATGATCTAGAAGCGATTTCCGTTTACGATAAGATTTCGGGCACAATAAACAACTATAGCTTGGCTTCTCTTTCTTAGAACCCGTTGCGGAGCCAACTTGTGCAGTGGACACCCCTCCACCCGGATTAGATCCACTCGATGGCGCCTGGAGCGATGTACTGCTGCTACTGCCACCATCTATTAGCTGAGTTTTGGTCTCCATACCGTCATTAGTGTCGTTTTCGTGATCATCTTCGTCTTCATCGTGTGAAATATCATGGTCGTCTTGTTCGAAAGAAGCATTAACGGATTTCGTATCCAAGGTACCCCTCATTTGCAACGTTACGGCTGCAGTTGGAATGCCACCAATGTTCATGGGTGACATCATCGCATTTGGATGTGTTTGTTGCTGTTGCAATTGTTGTTGCTGTGAGACGCTTTGTATATGAGGTGGTAAGTGTTGTTGCTGCTGTTGCTGCTGATAATGCATAAATTGCATTTGCTGAGCAGACGGTTGGGATCTACTGGCCGTTGTGCCGTCGAGTATACTGTCAATACTGTTTGCCAAACTGTTAGTGACATGCTGCTGTACGCGTTGCGCTTGTAACTGTTGTTGATGCTCTTGATTCGCACTTTCCATCATGCCGCCGATCATAGCCAATGGATGATTTTGCGCTTGGATATGAGAATTCAAATGATTTTGCTGTTGCTGCATATGCATATACCGCTGTTGCTGCTGTGCTTGAAAGTGCTGTTGTGGATGCATACTATTGTTTATGATGTTATTAATATTATGTTGAATAGATGGCTTTGTACTCTGAAGTTGAAGCGAGTTATTAATTGTTACACCATCTGCCTTTAAATGCCTCACTTCTAGATCATTATTTTGCAATGATTGTGATTCCTGCTGCATGTGTTGATGATTATTGCCCTGTTGTTGCTGCTCCTTAGGAGAAAATGTCGCGAAATTATTGTCGACAATCGTTTGTTCTTCCTGCATATCGTTCACTATATTAACGCTATTAGTTGAATTATTGCTTATAGGCGTAAGACCATTTATCCCAAGATTACTGTTGCTGGAAAGAAGAAGCAAGGATCAAATTTCTTGAAAATTATTGAATTGGAAAAATGCAATTTACCTTTGTTGCTGATCTTGTTGTTGTTGTTGAGTGTGTGATAAATTGTTACTAAAGCTGCTATTACCCAATGAATTCGCATCACTACCACCACTTTGAAGGGCAGTTAGTGTTGAAGCACTATCTGTTGTAACCATCTCACTGGGAATCGCTTCTAAGCCATTACCAGCAGAGCTGTTACTACTGCCACTGCCGCTCGTACCACTAATACTGGTACTTCTTTCACCAACTACGTCTTCAATTTCTGGCTCCATTACTAAACCGTCAATAAGACGGCCAGGACCCATTCCTTCTTCGATGATCTCTTCAAACTTCATTATCTCCTGAGGGGCCGGAGCCTCTACTTCAAATTCCGTTTCTGATTCAACAGCAATCGTGTTGCCACATATAGGCACAGATAGCATACGGCGGTTAGGTTGCCGCGACAGTAACTGTTTTTGCTTCAAAATCTCCTGTTTACGTAGGGCCTGTTGACGCCATTCCACTTCCCGTTCGGCACGTATGGTTTGTAGAACATTCTTTGGCGGTGTTACCCCTAACAAGCGGCCCGTCAAAATGAAATCATTGATGAATTCTTTCAGAAATGGTTTATGATGCGACTTGAGAGCTTCTTTTAATTGTATACGAAATTGCTCCTTAAAAACATGAATACTTAATTCTGAGGTTCTATGATGGAAATGAACAGTGAATTCAGAGTCAGGATGGAAGACATATTTCTCTGCCAAGCGTAAATAATGCGGCAGATTCTCGATCAATCGGCGCGGGTATTGCGATCTACTATTTTGGTTATTGTATTGATGACCAAATGCTCTTTGACGATTGCGCTCGAGAGCAACATCTGTAAGAACTTCGGAACAATTGCTACCACCCTCAACGGTATGAACTCGACTCAGACGTCGAGGATCAATTAACCCAGAAGGTATAAAATCGAGTGGGTCACGATTAGCCGCTCCACGAATTGCCGCATACCGCATCCGTTTACTGAGTGTACTTGTGTTATCATTGTCAACATCATCTGAATAAACTTCGTCTTCGTCCAGGCACATAAACTCCTCTTTGCAGAGGATTTTTTCGAAGTTTTGATTCAAATCGGTCGACGTATTTTCAGCATCACTCTTAATTTCTTCCTTTTTCGTATTGACAACCAAATGTATTGATTCCTTAGAAGGTGTGTCTACGATATCAGCAAAAACTCTACGCACAACGTGGTTACAATCATCGGTATATTTAAACTTTAGACCTTGCAACAAATAGTGCAATGCATCGCGCCGCGTTGTAGCATTTAAATTGTCCAATAAACCAAACGATTGTTCAACCTATATGAGGAAAAGGCAAAAAAATATTGTTAGGGTTAAACAAACATGCGTCACTTTTTGTCATTTTTGGTCAAAGATGGATATTTGTTTTGTTTAATTAAACACAATTATTAGAGCAGAGATAGCAGCAGTTTTAATAATCTACAGGGAATATTTGCTTTAAATGAAGTTACATTAACAAGATGAAGCATTTTCGATTTATTTTTCAGTCGGGCTTTGTCAGGATACTTGGATGGATTATCGAAGTTAAGGAATTGAATGAGGTATGCACCAAATTTGTCTATTTTAATCATATATTTTTCATTTATGGCCTTTTTTCAATATTTAAATCCATCAAGTCAAGTTAGTGAAGAAGTGAACAAGCATTTTGAAACACGCACAAAAAGTAGCTAAATTAAAAAATAATAGTAATATTAATAGTAAAAAATAACTCATTCAGGGAATACATTTTTTTGGACCGTGAGGTGGGGGTACACTCATTTGCTCAAAAGCAAACTTCAGCGACCCTGTAATCAGCGTGAACTTCTGAGTTGATTTAGTCATCTCTGCCCGTCTGTCTGGTGTGTGTTGTTGGCACTCTCCTGGTGGCAAATATGAAGATATCGACTTCAAATTTCGGAGAAACGTTGAAACTTTCTGCGCACAGTTCGGTATTGAAAATGGTGCAAATTGGTCAGAGCAGAAGCCCGCAGTGAATCGTAAACTGAACGCAACTCTGTTTTTCTTAACAAAAATTTCTGAATTTTCGAACAGTCGGCTCTCTTTACGTGCAAAAATGGAAAAAATCAGCCATGCCCACATTTTATTTTTTCACTCTTTTGAGGTTTTATAATTATTTATCATAAGGCAAACAAGATCGAATGTTTAAAACTTTTTTGTACACTTCTCAACAGAAATGGATTAATTGTAAAATGAATATGGTAGGCACTGCGATTAATATTTTTTAATAATACCAGCGGTACGGGTACGAAATAAACGAACATGGAGAGTAGAATGCGAAAAGCATAGCGGTGGGTATCCCAGATTCGGCCACCCCTGAATATAACTTTATTACTTGCTCTTATTAAAAATACATTGGAATTTTCTGTTTAGTAATTTTTGCTTTGAAATTAAAAAAAGTCGTGGCGGTAATCACGTAGCTAAAGGTTAGCGAAATTTTTCATACGTGATTATGTCTCACAAATTTTACGAGAGTGAAGCGAAGTCGGAAATGCTAATTCTATATAAGCTCCCTATAGTTTTTTGCAAATTTTTTTATCGATTGCGACAAAAACAGCGCTAATCATAGAATTTTGTGATACCTTGAAAAGTGTCCAGAGAGCTCTGTATTTGTAAGACCGAACTAATAGAGTTTGAAACTATATTTTCATTTTAACATTTTGATTTGAGATTTTTTCTACCGTTTAACGTTTCTTTTTAACAGTACGTCAGTGTTAGTTAATAGAAAGAAATCCCGATAAGCTATAATTTCATCGAGAAATATCCTATAAGTTTGTTTGTTGCCTTCTCTGGCACTCCTCCAAGAAAATATAAGCTAAGGGATGATCTTTGTTCCTGCAACTTAGTTTGGAGTTTTTATGGTAAGTGTTACAGGATAGAAATTAACTGGACGTAAGTACCTACCTTGCCAATGTCACTTTATTGAATAATTCAAGACCGTAGGTAATTGTAGTTGCAAGTATATTACAAACTCTAAGAATATCAGCCTAAAACTAAAATTAATCAAATGTATTCACCGGATGTAAGAGCACTATCAACGTCCACCCACTAAATTTAATATTAAGATTGAGGGCCATTCTTGTTGTTATTTTAGAATAGTTTGCATTTTTCTAAGTGTAATTGTTGTTGGGAGCGTGTTTATTGTAAAAGGTTGTTTTTTTTTTTTCTCATATTTCATGTGTTTCTTCGTTTATGCTTCCTCTTCTCTAGCCTCTACAAGCGTTTTATACATTCTTACTAACATAAATAGATCTGCACATATATACTTGAAGGCAAACGAACACAGATGCACATATATATGTATATACACATACGCGTACATACTACGTAAAATATGTTTCCATCTTACGATATATATATATATATATATATATATATATGTTTACATACATAGTATAAATGTGTATATACGAGTGCACATGTAATATTGTGTACTTGCTGTTGTTATTGTTGCAAGTTGTTGTACTTGTTTTTTGTTGTTTTTACTATTGTTGCTGTGGTTGGTTGTTATACTTGGCTCTGCTGCAGCTGCTGCTTCTCATGCAACGATTGTACAGCAATAGCGCAAGCAAATAGAATGCATTTTAGCTGTTATATAAATATATATATATATATATATATACAAATATATACAAAATATACTTTAATATAATCATAGTATATGCACAAGCATGCATACACATCTACATTTATATCAATAAGATATGGCAAAGTGAGGGGAGCTACCAAATTTCTTTCTTTTAAATAACAATTAATACGCTTATGGACAAATTAATTTATTTAATATTTTCTGTTCGCAAAGAAGCGTACACATACACACATACACACATACACACACACACATACATAACACCTACATTATAAATTCGTTAGAGCTCAAACATGTTTATTACGATTTATACAATTATCTGATTGTTCATTAATATCAGTCGTTCGCTCACGAAAAAATCTGTTGAAGGGAGAAAACAAGTTTTTTTTTTCCTTGTGTTTGTATTTAAGATTTAGCAACAGTAGGGTATTTGATCGGTTACTTTTACCTGATACGCAGTAAATGATAATATTTTATTTCATTTTTTATTATTCTTCTTTTTTTTTTCTTGTGTATATTTATATTAAAGTGAATTAAATTTATTGCTGCGGGCTTATGTGTGCTCTGTGTTATAGGTACTATGTGAGGGAGAACTGACATGGGAAAGGGAAAAGGGAGATAGCAGCTCGAGAATGAGAAAAAAAAAGAAGAGAAAATACAAAATGAAGCAGCTGTAGTATAGTGTCTACACATATACAAATATATGTGTGCATACATAAGACGTATACGCGCATATGCGTATATATAAATATAAATTTATATATATATGCATACGTACGTTCATATATGCCTATGTATATATTTATATATATCTATGCGCGCATATATATATAGATATATATATATATATATATACATGTATAGTTAGGGTAGAATACAAGCAACGACAACTAACAATGAATAGCAAACAGATGTACCCGTAAAGGGAAGGGTAATCAGTGGAAGAGACAAAGAAGCAGCACCAGCTCAACACCACAAACAGCAGCAACGACGACAAAAGCAGAAGCAGCGGTAAAAACATGATAAACATAGAGGAAAAAGAAAAACTTGCTTATCAAGAAGAGAAAGCACTCAAATAGAAAATATATTATTTTTATTTATTATTTTGTTGTAGCGTTTTTATTTTGTTTTTGTAATAACAGCGAGCACACATAGTTGTTGTTTTTGTGTGAATGTACGTATAGTTGTATTGGCTCTGAGTGGGAAGTGGGACAAATGCATTTTTAGAAGCTGCCATACTACTATTTGGCAAAAACTAGTGCATGCATATATAGCTGAACAAACGCTAACACTACTACCATCGCATTTTCATACACACATACGTACTCGTAAGCATATTTTAGCAATAAATTTTAGTTAAAAAAAATTAAAAAACCAAAATAAATATAATAATAAATCATTAAGCAAGACAGCCAATACATACGTATATAAATAAATACAGTGTTGGGCAAAGAATTAGCCCACTTAGTACAAGTTTTAGTTAAGACTTTTTAAAAAACTGTTTTGAATTATATACACATATTAGCAATGAAAATTGAGTGCATATTAAACATAAAAATTACTCAAAAAGCTGATTACTACTCAACAGTGAGTTTTTATTTGATCTCTGCAATCGCCAAACAAAGCAGCATAGCCTATATTTAAAGATCGATATATTAATATTAGGCTCGACGGTAAGAGCGAAAACACCGAACACATTGTTCGTAAACTTTGTAAATTTCATAACCCTTTTATAGTACATACGATGAATCCGTTCCTTTGCAATTGAAAGTGCATACACATGATTCGACGTTGCTATTAGTTTCCAGGAAATAAGAAACTTAAATATGACCTTTCGCATATTGACCTCGTTCAATAATCTCTTAAAAATTCTCCTCAAACTATAGCTTTCAGGTAAGATATGGCATTGCATTTCGTAGCAGTAAACGTTGCGAATGACGTCTCTTAAGGATTAACTACAGAATTATACAGTGATCTCGCCATTCGTCTCCCTTCTGGTTGCTCCTTGCGTCATAAGCATCAAAATCAATAAACTATATACGATTTCTAAAATCCACGGTATCTCGCATTTCTGGAAAGATTTCCTTGGAAAACATTAATTGCTTTGCTTGTAAAGCATCGTTGCCAAGTTGAAAAAACTTATGAGAAAAATGCTTCATCGAAAAAATGATAATTGGAAGATTTAAGAACGTCAGGAAGTTTTGCAAGAAGATCCTCATCACACTATTAAAGCAATTATTATATAGTAATAAAAGTTTCGCCGCCGATGCAATCTCTCGTCAAAATTAAGAAGAGAAAGGATTTTTTGTAACTTACAGCTTTGTAACTTGCCTGAAGACAAATAGCCAAACCATCAACCTGTCCACGATAGTGCTTTGCATTTGGCTGAAAGAGGGCAATGTAACACGATACGAGCTTTTAGAGTCAAATGAAAAATTCAATAGCGAATAACGTAAACAGTAATCGTATTTATTGGATCGGGATTTAAGGAACACAGATATTCAGTACGCAGCAATTATCCCAACATCGCTTAGAAGATAAGTTGCCCTTTCACCGAGATATGCAACAATCGGCTTAGTCTACTTATTTGCCCGTCAGCCATTTGTCGACACAATAACAGGCCACAAATTAAAAACTATGCCACACACCGATTTTGACAGAATGTTGTGCATCATAAAGCACCCGAGTGAAA